GAGGGGAGGGGAGAGGGGAGGAGAGGAGAGGGGAGAGAGGAGAGAGGGGAGGGGAGGAGAGGGGAGAGGAGAGAGGAGAGAGGAGAGGAGAGAGGAGAGAGGAGAGGAGAGAGGAGAGGAGAGAGGAGAGGGGAGAGGAGAGGGGAGAGGAGAGGGGAGGGGAGGAGAGAGGAGAGAGGAGAGAGGAGGAGAGAGGAGAGGAGAGAGGAGGAGAGAGGAGAGGAGAGGGGAGGGGAGAGGGGAGGAGAGGAGAGGGGAGAGAGGAGAGAGGGGAGGGGAGGAGAGGGGAGAGGAGAGAGGAGAGAGGAGAGGAGAGAGGAGAGAGGAGAGGAGAGAGGAGAGGAGAGAGGAGAGAGGAGAGAGGAGAGAGGAGAGGCTGTTTTTTCCAATTTTTGTAAAAGAAATTATCAAAGAAATTGAACTTGCATGTTATCTTTTCTAGGATGTTTGTCATTCTAACTGTTATTCTGCACTAAAGACATGTTCTAGTTCTCTCTACTTCTAGTCATGATGGATCCGTTTCATAGAGGAGCAGGACTTTATGTTACAGAGAAAGACCACGGTGAGTAAAATAAGAGCAAAGAAACGCCCTAAACACTCAACACACCCTGAACATTAGAGTAACGCTTTTATTAGAAGCCGGAAGTCTCCTCTCTCAGTCAAACATTATGGACGTATATATATTCCTGAGCTCACCCTTCTCGCCCCTCTTCTTCTTGGTCCGGTCGATGTGGTCTTTGAGCTGGATGCGGACCTGCCTCTCGTTGGGCTGGTCCCGGATGTAGGGGTGTTTGAGCAGCTGCTCGGTGGGCGGACGCTGAGTGTAGTTCTTCACCAGGCAGCCCTCGATGAAGCTGAAGAACTTCTTCGACCTGTCGGTGAAATGAGATGTTTGGAGTTGAGATGAATCGTCCGTTCGGTTAATGCCGGACATACTTTTTGATAAAAAGGATTTCCGAACCATTTTTTGGACTTGAGTCGAGGAGGAGGGTTTCTGGGGATGAGGAAGAGGGCTCTCATTGGATGCATGTCACACAGAGCTGCAAACAAGAAGAGACACGAACACGTCAAACACATGCGTGTCATTCTGTACTAATGGTGAAGCTTAAACCCTGATCAAACAGTTGAATATAAACCAATCGATACGATGAGAACAGACTGAGGAATAAAATAAATAAATAAGTGTTCATGTTTGAAAGCTGAACTCACGGGGAGCTCCCTCCGCCATCTCGATGGCCGTGATTCCACAGGACCAGAGGTCACTCTGAAGGAAAGACAAGAAGAGTCAGAATCTCTCATTCATACACATCTGTATTCATATTCTAACAAAGAGTGGACGTGTCATAACTCTTTAAAGCATTGAGACGATGTTGAAACTGAAGCTGTGATTTCTGAAACTCTTCAGGATATTTTACAGCAACAGACGAGTGTCCCGTTCCTCTGGATGATCCGCTGTTACAGGTTTATTTCAGGTGTTATCTGCTGGGGGTGTGAATCTATCGGTATCTCAACTATTTCATTCAAAAACGGCTTCAGGATTCAGAACGTAGGAGGAAGGTGGAGAGGCAAATTATTGCATGAAAGAAATATAAAGTGTATAGAAGAGTTATTTATATTTAAAATTATATCAACAGATTGCAAAACATTAAACACACGAATGCAAAAGGAACATTTGTTTAAGTTAAACTTTCACAAATTAACTTTTTACTCAAAGTTTCTCAGTGACTTCAAGATAAATTGTTCACAAAACAATAAAAGTGGTATTTTGTGTGATTCTTTGATAATGCTTCAAAACAATAACTGACTTGGTGTTACCGTCCATCAGAAGCAACATCTCGGTACTTTTGTAAAAAAAAAAAAAATTACAAAAAAGCGATTTTGGAAGATAAGACTAATAATAATAATTACAAGAATATTTTTTTTTCTCCACCAAACGAAAGACTGTTCACCTCCACTGTACTGAGTGTCAGCCAGTAAACCCTTAAACCCTGAAACACAGTCAACACGCCCAGAACTGTCTGAGTGGATCCTGATGAACTGGTTTTGAGGAGGACGTGTGAGAATTAGATTTTGATTCTTTTCTTCCTGTGAATCCTTTCAAATGCTCTACTCAAACGCTCCCTGATGTATATTGTAGAAGCAGCAGATCCAGTTCCTGCTGGATCCGGTTCAGATCCTCACCCTGTAGTCGTAGGTAGCGTCCGGGTTCTCGTCACAGGCGATGACCTCTGGAGCCATCCAGTATGGCGTCCCGATGAAGGTGTTCCTCCGGCCCACCGTCCGGTCCAGCTGAGCGCTCACACCGAAGTCCACTAAGAGAAACAGGAAGTCAACGTCAGTTATTCATGTTTCAAAGCATTTTCACTGACGGCGTCGTTTCAGTAAAGTACACAAAGAAAGGTAGAGGTGCCATCTGGAACCGGAAATGGTTCTTTAGACTGAAGCCATAGAAGAACCCTATCTGGTTCCACAAAGAACCTTTCAGACCAAGGTTCTCTAAAGAACCATTTTCTTAAACGCTTCTTCAAAAAAGACGTTTAAGGAAGTTCAAAGAGAACTTCAAAGAACCAGAAAAGGTACCTCAAAGAGCCATCAAAGAAGTATATAACAATATGTATATATACATATACGCATATATATACACATGCATATATGCATATATATGCACATATATGCACATATAT